GATGCCAAGTTACTGCTGGGAAGGGGGAACACGCTGAGCTCAGCTGCTGTGAGACCAACTGAACAACTTTAGTGCTTTTAAACATTGATGAGACATTACACCACAATACCTGTAGCTACAGAGGTCAGTGAGGGCTTGTTAGAAAGCTGCTTGTTAAGAATATACAGTTGTGTTCAAAATAATAGCAGTCAGACATCACTAACCGGATCAATCACTGTTTCTGGTACAAATTGTATTTCTACATGGCAAATAATTTACTAGCAGGTGTAGTAGAGTAATAGAAATCCAACAAACCCAACAGTCATGACATGCATGCTGCTGATTCTGTGTCATTGAATCACTAATTGAAAGGGGCATGTTCAAAATAATAGCAGTGTGGAGTTCTATTAGTGAGGTCATTCATTCTTTGAAAAACAGGTGGCAATTATTGCCCTTATTTAAGGAAGGAAGGCAGCAAATGTTGTACATGCTGGTTACAGTGCATTTCTCTCTGAAATTCTGAGGAAAATGGGTCGTTCCAGACATTGTTCAGAAGAACAGCGTACCTTGATTAAAAAGTTGATTGGAGAGGGGAAAACATATAAAGAAGTGCAGAAAATGATAGGCTGGTCAGCTAAAATGATCGCAACTGCTTTAAAATGGCAACCAAAACCTGAAAGATGTGGTATAAAGCAAAAAACTACCATTTGAATGGAGAGAAGAATAGCCAAAATGGCGTGGACTCAGCCAACAATCAGCTCCAGGAAGATGAAAGAAGGTGTAAAGTTCCCTGTGAATACTGTTACAATTAGAAGACACCTGTGTGAAGCCAAGCTATCTGCAAGAAGCCCCCGCAAAGTCCCACTGTTGGAAAAAAGACGTGCTGAAGAGGTTACAATTTGCCAAAGAGCACATTGACCGGCCTAAAGAGAAATGGCGCAACATTTTGTGGACTGATGAAAGTAAGATTGTTCTTTTTGGGTCTAGTGGCCGGAGACAGTTTGTCAGACGACCCCCAAACACTGAATTCAAACCACAGTACACTGTGAAGACAGTGAAGCATGGTGGTGCAAGCATCATGATATGGGGATGTTTCTCATACTACGGTGTTGGGCCTATTTATCGCATACCAGGGGTCATGGATCAGTTTGAATACATCAGAATACTTGAAGAGGTCATGCTGCCTTATGCTGAAGAGGAAATGCCCTTGAAATGGGTGTTCCAACAAGACAACGACCCCAAACACACCAGTAAACGTGCAACATCTTGGTTCCAGACCAACAAGATTGACATTATGGAGTGGCCAGCCCAATCACCGGATCTTAATCCAATATAGAAAACTTGTGAGGTGACATCAAAAATGCAGTTTCTGAGGCAAAACCAAGAAATAGAGAAGAACTGTGGAATGTGGTCCAATCATCCTGGGCTGGAATACCTGATCACAGGGGCCAGAAGTTGGGTGACTCCATGCAACACAGATGTACAGCAGTTCTCAGAAACAGTGCGACTACAACCAAATATTCATGAAGTCATTCAAAGGAAAGCAAAATCTTCAAACATTTTTCAGTTTATATAGTGAATGTTTGAGTTTGTAAAGAAGAATACAAACACTGCTATTTTTTGAACCATCTAATATTCACTTTTCTTCAATTTTTTTAGAGGAACAACACAAATTTGATCTATTTTTCTTCATGTTGTGACTTGGAATATAATGTGTCGTGTTCCCAATGCATTTGTGTGGATGGAAATAAAAGCTATTAGAAGGATTTTCAGCTTTATTCACTTTTTTCAACACACTGCTATTATTTTGAACACAACTGTATATAATGTCTGAATGTCCACAGCCTGGCCACAAGCTCACTTTATCAAAGTAAGAGATTAAAGTGTAACTAAAAGTACGACTTTTTTTTTGTTTTGGATAGAGTAGAGAAGGATTATAACCCTTGTCAGTTTTTATTACAGTTAGGGAGATTTGTCATATATGCCAATATCATTGAAAGTAATAGAAAATCTACAATTTTGGGTTGATACCAGAAAAGTAATAAAGGGCAAATTTTCCAATTTTCCATTAGTGACACCTCAGGATTCCCTCACTTCCTGCTTGACTATGGGACAGGAAGTGAAGGGAAATCTCTGGGACACAGATGGGCAAAAAAAAAAAAACTTACAGGGGTTATAACCCTCCCTTAATCTATCCAAAATGAAAAAAAAAAGAAAGATTTGAATTTAGTTACACATTAAAATTAGTATCTCTCTCTTTAATATACCCGATGAGTTTAATACTTTTCAGTACTGATTTGTCCGTTACTGCAGGACAGCTTTAAGTTTTAGAGTTTCTTTTCGTACCTGAGAAAAGTGGTGTGGTTTCGTCATTGGTCAGGTCGTTGGGATCAGCGCCAGCTCGAAGGAGAAGTTCAGCACACCGTGCGCTCCCACATTTGGCTGCGAGATGCAGCGCGGTTTCACCTTCAAATGTTTTTGATTTGATATATGACTTGGATAAAGCTATCAGGGGAGGAGAAGTGTGTATTAATAGTACGGTGCAAATACAAAGACACAACAGTCACAAGTGATTCCCCAATGCTGCCATCAGGGGTGGATTATGGTGACATTTATCCTTAAATATCAAGTTAACACACAAATGCGCTGTCTATTCCACTCTCTGAAAAGGACGAAGAGATGTCTTCCCAAGAACGCAGATGGAGACTGTGTAGAGGAAACTAATTGTAGGCTTTGGCTGGCCATGCATTATACAATATTCTTACAATTTTTTTGTACAATTTCTGTTCAATTTCCTTTATATTCTTCCATATATATGCAAGAAGATAAGATGGGGCTATATTATAAGAAGTGGAGAAAATGGGAAGAGTTTGCGGTGAAATATATGAAGTAGCAGTGTGTGTGAGGTGGAAGTATTTATATATAATATCTAGGAAAAAACGAAATGGAACGCAGAGTGGGTGGGTCTATTAGTGGGGAAGGGGGGTGTTTGAGATGGGGGGGGGTATTAGATAGGGTTGGGGAGGTAATGGGAAAAAAGATAGTAAGAAATGCAATTAATGGTTCAGATAATGGTTTTTGTATGAGAATAACGATGAAATATGTATTTTATATGGAAAATAAATAAATATTTAAATAATTAAAAAAAAAAAAATTTCCTTTATATTTACCTTCAACTACGTAGTGCAAGGGCCTGCTGGATACCATTGAAAGTGTTGTTTAGGGCTGACCTCATATTATATAGTTTTTGGTAAATCTAAAAGAAATTTGTATAATGTATGGCCAGCCTTACCCTTCAGCAGAACATGAATTAAGGCTGAATGCAAATAGAAAAACAAAAAGGGCGCACCGACCTAGTGCATTATCGTTTTAAAATATTTATTGAAAGAACAAGGTAAGTATTATACTCACAATGAACATAAAAACACAACCATATCACACCAAACAGAATAATGAATCCAAGCAGCATCTGAGTCCATACGATGGAACCCTGGATGACCAACTGACTAACGCGTTTCGAGGACTCAGCCTCTTCCTCAGAGCCCTGTTTGGTGTGATATGGTTGTGTTTTTATGTTCATTGTGAGTATAATATTTACCTTGTTCTTTCAATAAATATTTTAAACGATAATGCACTAGGTCGGTGCGCCCTTTTTGTTTTTCTATTTGCATTCAGTGAAGTTGGACCACCCCGGTCTGTTGAGGGCAGCAAGCAGTACATGTTTCAGAACATCCTTACTGGTTCCACCGAGTCCATTCCCAGCGCAGGAGAAAAGTGTTTTGCTGTGATAAATAAAGGCTGGCCATACATTATACACTTTTTTCTTGTACAATTTTCCTTTAGATTTACCAAAACTAGGGATGCACTGAAATTTTGGTGGCCGAAACGTTTCGGCTGAAAACACTCCTTTCGTCCGTCAGCCAAAATGAAAAAAAAAAAAAAAAAAAAAAAAAAACACCGATACAGGTGCCGAAAAAAAAACCCCGCCCCTCGCCGCTGCCGCCACCGGCCGTCACTCGGTAGTTCTCAGCCTTACCTGAGAAACCATCAAACGATCCAGGCACTGGGCATAGAGATGAGTAAAGGAAAGATGGCCTCCACTCATCTCTATACCCTTGGAGGACTGGAGTCACTTTCCGGTTCCAGCCTTTTTTTTTTTTTTTTTTTAAAAGCACTAGACCATTGCTTTTTTTTGATCCAATGCTTTACACTGCAGCGGAGAGATGTGGGGTCTTATTGATCCTATATCTCTCCATAAAGAGGACATGTCACTAATTATTTCTATCACAGGGATGCATGCATTTCTTGTGATAAGAATAAAAGTGATTACATTTTTTTTTTAAAAAAGGGACAGTGCAAAAAAATAATAAATTTTTTTTAAAAAGTGCCCTCGTTCCCCCCCCCCCCCACCCCCCCCCCCGTGCACGCATGTAGTGGTGAATGCATACGTAGGCCATGCCCACATATGCAAATGGTGTTCAAACCACACACGTGAGGTATCGCCACGAACGTCAGAGCAAGAGCAATAATTCTAGCACTAGACTTCCTCTGTAACTTTAAACTGCTAACCTGTAGAAATTTTTAAAGTATCGCCCATGGAGATTTCTAAGTACCGCAGTTTCATGCCATTCCACGAGCGTGCGCAATTTTAAAGCGTGACATGTTGGGTATCTATTTGCTTGCCGTAACATCCTCTTTCATATTTTACAAAAAAATTTGGGGTATATATTGTGTTTTTTTTTTGTTTTTTTTAATCAAAGTGTATTTTTTTCCAAAAAAAATATATACCGTATTTGCCGGTGTATAAGACGACTGGGCGTATAAGACGACCCCCTACTTTTCCTGCTAAAATGTAGTGTTTGGGCTATACTCGCCGTATAAGGACTACCCCTCTTCCAATGCACACCAGGGGAGCAATAGTGCCCCATCACTGGTGTCAGTGGGAGGAATAGTGCCCCATCATCGGTGTCAGTGGGATGAATAGTGCCCCATCATTGGTGTCAGTGGGATGAATAGTGCCCCATCATCGGTGTCAGTGGCAGGGGATGAATAGTGCCCCATCATCGGTGTCAGTGGGAGGAATAGTGCCCCATCATGGTGTCAGTGGGAGGAATAGTGCCCCATCATTGGTATCAGTGGGGGGAATAGTGCCCCATCATTGGTATCAGTGGGGGAATAGGTGCCCCATCATTGGTATCAGTGGAAGGAATAGTGCCCCATCATTGGTATTAGTGGGCAGGAATAGTGCCCCATCATTGGTATCAGTGGGGGGAATAGGTGCCCCATCATTGGTATCAGTGGGAGGAATAGTGCCCCATCATTGGTATCAGTGGGAGGAATAGTTCCCCATCATTGGTATCAGTGGGGGGAATAGTGCCCCATCATTGGTATCAGGGGGAGGAATAGTGCCCCATCATTGGTATCAGTGGGAGGAATAGTGTCCCAACATTGGTGTCAGTGGGAGGAATGGTGCCCCAACATTGGTGTCAGTGGGAGGAATGGTGTCCCAACATTGGTGTCAGTGGGGGGGAATGAATAGTGCCCCATCATTGGTGTCAGTGGGGGGGGGAATAGTGCCCCATCATTGGTGTCAGTGGGGGGGGGAATAGTGCCCCATCGTTGGTGTCAGTGGGGGGGAGGAATAGTGCCCCATCGTTGGTGTCATTGGGAGGAATAGTGCCCCATCATTGGTGTCAGTGAGAGGAATAGTGCTCCATCATTGGTATCAGTGATGGGGCACTATTCCTCCCACTGACACAAATGACACTTGCTGACCCTGTTCTAGTATGGTGCTGCTGCAGCCAGCATATGTGTTTGCAGCAGCACCTCTACACGGCACACTTACCTGCTGCTCCTGCACTCGATTTTCACGGGGCCGCTCGGCTCCACCCCCTCGCTGGTGATTGGCCGCCTGTGTGCCTTTCCTGAGCTACAGTTCTGGCGGCCAATCACCGGTGAGGAGGCGGAGCCAAGCAGCCGCGCGAACATCCAGTGGCCGAACCGAAGGAGCAGCCGCGCTTCCTGGACCGGATCGTCGTGGGACCGGAGCCAGGTAGGAAACACCAGCCCCTGCCCACCCCTGTACTTAGTGTCCCTTCTGTTGGAAGGGGGGGGGGGGCGGCGGCGGCACTGCGCCGCCCCCCTAAAAAGTGTCAGTATGCCGTATACCGGCGTATAAGACGACCCCCGACTTTTGAGTAGATTTTCAAGGGTCAAAAAGTCGTCTTATACGCCGGCAAATACGGTAGTCATTTTTAAAAACTGCGCATTTTGGTTTTCGGTTTTCGGCCAAGTGCAGTTTGAATTTTCGTATTGGGTTTAGGCACCAGAATTTTCATTTTGGTGCACCACTAACCAAAACCATATAATATGAGGTCAAACCTAAACACTTTCAACTTGTATGCAATCAGGCAGACCTTTGCACTACATAGTTGAAGGTAAATCTAAATGAAATTGAATAACAAAATTGTATAATGTATGGCCAGCTTAACAGCAATAACTGAGCAACACGTTATGTGACAATATCCCCGTGATTACCTTCACAGGTATTACACGCTCTCTGGTCTAAGGCATGTCAAAATGACCTATAACCTTACATCCCCAAAATGCTTATTCCTTCTAATACAAATTTAGCAATGCCAATATGCTTTGGTTAACTTGACAAGAACCCTGTGACTAGTTTGCCAACCTAAATTATGTTTACATTTTTAAAGAGGGGCTTCAGTTCCCAGAAAAACATTAAAAGTCAGCAGCTACTGTGACGATCGCGGCGTCAGACCCCAGCCCTTCTCACCAAACTCGTGACCGAAGGACTAGCCAATCTAAAACCGCGCTGTCACATGCGTAACAATGACACGCTCAGCTGCACCCTGCACAAAGATTTTACAGCAACCAGGACCACAACCTGTGTGCGGCAGCTTGGGAGCAATTGTTACTGGGTCAGGTTAATTACGCAAGTAACCTTTCACACTGCCACCACCTCCTTTTTGTACAGAGAAAGAGAAAATTCGGCAATATCAGCAATAACGCTATGATGTTTGCATAAGCGTCGGTATACCACTGTCACCGCAGACAGCGATATACCGAAGTTTAAAAACGCACACACAGTAGCGCTCTTCAGAGGCAGGAATTCATAGTTTGCATTAAAGAATGGTAGAAACAGTTCACACTTTCAGAAAGTAAGATTTATTACTAAGAAGGTCAAAACAATAAAAATATTTACAGAAAAAGATGTAGCCATATATATATATATATATGCAATGGAGAGGAACTTTCAGAATTCATAATTAAAAGTAGAAACAGTTCACACTTTCAGAATTTATTACTAAGAAGGTCAGTTCAAAGGGTGCAATAAAAATATTTACAGAAAAAGATGTAGCCAATATATATATATATATATATATATATATATATATATATAATATATATAAAAATATAGAAAACAATAGCACAGCAAAGAGATAACAGAAAGGAGTTTAGAGGGTTAAAGTATTTGCCAAATGTTCTGTTTTAAGCAGATCAGGTTTCATGAGCCAAAAGGATTTATCTCCCACTGTTAGTTCCGATGTTAAAAAAAAAAAAAAAAAAAAAAAAAAAAAAAAAAGGAGATTCTTCAACTTTCACACACCTCAACTCAGCCTAGCCTTTTCTAGCAACTCCACAGGGTGTCTCCCTGGAGCAGTAAACCAATCGCTTTACGAGCCCAGATTGCGGAAATTAATAGACATCTAGGCCCCAGCTCAGTTGTGGGATTTATAGCCATGACGCCCTCCCATGGAGTTTGCTGTCTGTGATCTGCATCAAACAGGCATGTCACTCAATAGAAAAGGAGGGGGGATGAGGACAGCTGAGGCGAAAAAGCAGAACTTCCCCTTTCAGGTGAAGTCCTGTTTTAAGGTCATATTAGACTTTGAATGTAGAGTGACAAATGGACACAAAGGTAAAAAGGTTTATTTTGTAATACTTTTTATTAAATATTGTTATTGTATCTGGCAATTACAGTATTAAACAATGATACCCGGCCATCTTCAGGCTACAGATTTGGAAATTCTGCTTTAAAGTAAGTCCCAAAGCTAGGTTCACACTGCTGCAATCCAATTTTGATCTGACTTTCAGTACGATTATGTAGCGTAACTTATTTGCATATTCTATGTGGCCCAAATAGTGTTGGAATTGCACCAAAGTAGTACAGGAATCTTTTCCAAAATTACACTGTGCTGAGATGCATTGGTGAATGCGCACCATTGAAAATGTCCATTGGCAATCGATTCTGTGAGATTAAAGCCGCATCTGACATTGCACGATTGTAAACAGAGTCTATGGACTCATGTACACTTATGGTTGAGGGCTATTAAAATGCAGCTGTGCTGTTTTTACAGTTTCCCCGCCACCCCCCCCCCCCCCCCCCCCCCCTCCCCCACTGCTCCTCCTTAAGCTGCAAAGGCAGCGGAGGCAGATGTTCATTTGCCATGGCCACAATGCTTTGCTTGGAGGTGCAGCAAAAATGATTTCTGCTGTTGCATTTGGCAGGCAGTACAGGCCACCAAAAACAACCCCCATTCAACTCCTCACCACCTGTCAAATTCCCTCTGAAGTGCGAACCGAACGCAGAGGGCAACGTTGATTGTAAACAAGGCCTTACTGAATGGCATTCTGCATGCTAAAGTACTGTGTATCAAAAAGTTACCTTTTTTAATTTTTACATAAAACTTATCTTCACCTTTTATTAGGACATCAAGACATTGGGGTTGATTTACTAAAACTGGAGAGTGCAAAATCTGGTGCAGTTGTGCATGGTAGCCAATCAGCTTCTAACTTCAGCTTGTTCAATGTAGCTTTGACAATAAAACCTGGAATTTGATTGGTTTCTATGCAGAACTGCACCAGACTCTTCACTCCCCAGTTTAAGTAAATCAACCCCAGTGTTGTAATTTTTAATTAAAGTGTTCCTAAACCCCCAACAGTACAATCAGTCTGTATATGCAGTAAAGCATGTTTGTTATACTCACTGTGGAACCTAAGGGGATAATCCTCTGCATTGTGTAAAAAGGCTGTTTGATCCTGACTTTTCTGATCCTCCCCTTCTTCCAGTGTCCCCTTGTTATCTCCTGATAAAACATATGGTGTGGAGATACTCTGCACATGCTCAGTTTGGTGTGTATTGCTAGAGAGGCTTTTTTTTTCTTGGGAGAGTGCATGTGATCAGCACGGGACCAATCAGCACTGTCCAGACAGAGGTCAAGGGTTCTGCATCCTCCTAGAGCAGAATGAAAACTGCTCCTACAAGCTGTAACCAGTGCTTTGCTGAACACTGATAGAAGTCAAAAGACTGCTGTAACTGCCGATGAGAAAAGGTATTTATCAGTTTAGATTTACTAAAAACAATTGCACTTCCATGTTGTGTGTTGTGGGAGACTAGATATAGTGAATGCGGGGTCCGGGGAGACCGGATATAGTGAATGCGGGGTCCGGGGAGACCGGATATAGTGAATGCGGGGTCCGGGGAGACCGGATATAGTGAATGCGGGGTCCGGGGAGACCGGATATAGTGAATGCGGGGTCCGGGGAGACCGGATATAGTGAATGCGGGGTCCGGGGAGACCGGATATAGTGAATGCGGGGTCCGGGGAGACCGGATATAGTGAATGCGGGGTCCGGGGAGACCGGATATAGTGAATGCGGGGTCCGGGGAGACCGGATATAGTGAATGCGGGGTCCGGGGAGACCGGATATAGTGAATGCAGGGTCCGGGGAGACCGGATATAGTGAATGCAGGGTCCGGGGAGACCGGATATAGTGAATGCGGGGTCCGGGGAGACCGGATATAGTGAATGCAGGGTCCGGGGAGACCGGATATAGTAAATGCAGGGTCCGGGGAGACCGGATATAGTGAATGCAGGGTCCGGGGAGACCGGGTATAGTGAATGCAGGGTCCGGGGAGACCGGATATAGTGAATGCGGGGTCCGGGGAGACCGGATATAGTGAATGCGGGGTCCGGGGAGACCGGATATAGTGAATGCAGGGTCCGGGGAGACCGGATATAGTGAATGCAGGGTCCGGGGAGACCGGATATAGTGAATGCAGGGTCCGGGGAGACCGGATATAGTGAATGCAGGGTCCGGGGAGACCAGATATAGTGAATGCAGGGTCTGGGGAGACCAGATATAGTGAATGCAGGGTCTGGGGAGACCAGATATAGGGAATGCAGGGTCTGGGGAGGCCAGATATAGGAATGCAGGGTCTGGGGGGAGGCCAGATATAGTGAATGCAGGGTCTGGGGAGACCAGATATAGTGAATGCAGGGTCTGGGGAGACCAGATATAGGGAATGCAGGGTCTGGGGAGGACCAGATATAGGGAATGCAGGGACCGGGGAGACCAGATATAGGGAATGCAGGGTCCTGAGTTTAGTAACACTTTAAGGTGTTTGTTCAGCTTTACAGAAAAATTGTCAACTCGTCATCCAACTTTATGTGTCCAAAGTCTCATGAGAAGTCGCACAAATGTGAATGGAGCCTAAAAGGATAAGTTCATTTTTTGAACATGTTACATATTCCACCCGTATTTAGGGTGGAATATGCAACATGTTCCAGCTCCTGCCTTCACTTCCCCCGATCCCCCCTCTCCCTGTGACAGCGGTGAAGGATCTTTCCATTCACAGAGTTCTGTCACTGATTGAACTACTGTCAGTACTGTCAGCCGCCGCAGTCAATAGCAT